AAAAAAGCCGGAAGTGACACTGTGGCTCAAGTAGTAAAGCGCTAGCCTTGAGCTGAAGAGCTGAGGGACAGCGCCCAGGCCCAGAGTTCAGGCCCCACGACCAGACCCCCCCCAAAAAAAAAAAAAAAAGCTGAGCATGGTCATCCAAGCTATGTAGAAGTATAGATCCTAATCAAAAAATAAGATCATATTTGAAGCATATAAGGTCTGAAGCAGAAAGGTCTGAAAGTGATAAAGCCTATCAAGTATCTTTAAGTCCTGAGTTCAAACCTCAGCGATGCCAAAAATAAATACCCTCAAACAACCAAACCAAACCAACAAACAAAAGGATTTTATCACATTCATGTCTAATTTATAATATTTAAACTGTCCCTTCATCCTTCCTGATAGTCTCTTAAGTGTCAACTAGTCTTTTTCTGACACATTCCCATTTATCAATAGCTTTACATCTGAAGAGATGTTATTCAACATCCCATCCCCTTTGCTGACTTAAATGAAATATTGCATAATTTACAAGAGCTGTAGTTTCATTTCCGAGTATATATTTATTTGCATTTATATCTTATTAATGTGTCAAATTGTAAGACAATATAGGCAAGGATGAACATTATGTAAAGTAGAATGAAATATATCAGAGAATCCATCTTTTAAATGGTGTAAATAGTAAGCTCATTGTTAATCTCTCATGCTAACAACCTTTTGCTTTTCTAAGCATTCCTGTAATTGTAGGTTCAAAAGTGCATTACCAGACAAAGATCTTTTACATTAAGTATTGTTAGCATAATAGTAAAGTATATAAGCAATCAAGTCACATGGTTAAGTATGAATACTAATTTTTCCATGAAAATTGACAATAAAAGGAAATAATGCATGTATTATGACTAATACACAGTTGGTGCTCAATAAATGCTAGCTTAAGGGTGAAGAGTTCCAACTACTATGAGAAATCATTGGGCACAGCTGTAAATAAAATAAAGGCCATGATGAACAATCAGGCTAACCTATGACAGTATCTTACCGTAAAATTTAGACAAAATGTTTCCTCTATATCATCTTCTGGATAATCCAATAACTGTTGCATACTTCTGTAAAACAATGTATATTTCTTTAAGGCAAAATATTATTGTTATTTTGATGATTTTGCTTACGCATTTCTCATTCCCTGTTAATAAAAAATCATGTATTTCTCTCATTTGTTTTTATTTTTGTGTAATCTTATTCTATTTTATATTAGTAGATATTACTTACATATTCAAAGAAAGTATAAATGAAGGCACTCAAAAGTAAAAGTCCAATTAAATCATTTCATCATGTTCAGAAAATACTACTTTCCTAAATTTATTATCCAGTATCTATGAAATACTGATTAACCACTAAAAGATGAACTTTAGAAACAAAACATTTAGTCTTTTTTAATGAACATTTTTATCTCAGTAACATAATGAATTTTCATAGGTTGACGACTGACTAGTGGTATTAGAGTTTGAACTCAATAGCTTCGTGCTTGCTTTGACAGGCTCTCTACCATTTATGCCATGCCTCCAACCATTAGATTTTCCATCATTAAAAAGGTTTCCAGCAGGGCACCAGTGTCTCACATTAATTTTAGCTACTCAGGAGGCTGACATCACAGGATCACAGTGTAGTTCAACGTTAGCCCAGGCAGAAAAGTCCATGAGACTCTTTTTTGCTTTTTCCATGAGATTTTTTTCTTCTGTATATATTTTTATTGTAAAAATACTGTACAGAGAGGTTACAGTTACATGAGTAAAGTAATGAGTACATTTCCTATCAAACATTGGTTACCTCCTCCTTTGTCCGTGAGACTCATGTCCAATTAACCACCAAAAAATCAGCTGTGAGTTCAGGGAAACCATCTATGGCACAGGGCTTTGCGTTCAAGCCACAGGATGGGCACAAAAAAAATGGAGAGGAGGGACCCTTCCATTTATTAACTTCAGAAATGGAGCAGAAACAATTATTCCTAGAAATCAATAATATAGACCTTTTTCTGTACAGGTCCCATTTCTTCCCAAATCTTACCCTTGACACTTTTTAAAACTAACCTCCCAACATCAGGCATTAGTTCTTTCAAATCATCCAGGGATGGCTTCTTTTTCAGGAGTTTCTTATATAAAGCCAAAGGAAAGTGAAGGTCCACAATAGTAAAATTATAAATTGCTAACCCACAGATAACACCAATCAGATGGAACAAATCGCTATCTTCAAATGTCTGAAAATAAAGTTTTAAGATTGATCTAAGTTAAATCATTGATTTTATTACAAAAAGTCACCCTCAGAAAAGTTTAAAGATATAGAAAAATTCATCCTCATTACTACCTCCCTAGGATAACAACATCATTAGCATTTTTTATTCCCACTCAATTTTCTAAGACCTAAAAACTTACTATCTAGGTGCAATCATAACCTACACACCCTTCCCAAGTGGTATTTCACAGAAATCAGAATCTCCTACCATTATATAAGACAGCTTCCTGGAAGAAAGACTAATACATGCAAAGTTTACAAACAATGTAGCTCATTCATAAAAATTTCCTTCAAATCAGATTACTAATCAGTAGAACCATCACGTTTATTTGTTTTTTTGGGTCCGGTCGTGGGGCCTGAACTCTGGGCCTGGGCACTATCTCAGCTCTTCAGCTCAAGGATAGTGCTCTACCACTTGAGCCACAACGCTACTTCCAGATTTTTCTGCTTATGTGGTGCTGAGGAATCGAACCCAGGGCCTCAAGCATGCAAGGCAAGCACTCTACCACTGAGCCACCTTCCCAGCCCAATGAACCATCACGTTTATTAAATCAGAACTCAGCAACCTTTTTCTGTATAAAGAGTAGGTGGTAAATATTTTAGACTTTGTAGAAATAGGTCTCTATTGTAATTACTCAATTGTACCTCTGATGCAGTAGGCTCAAAAGTAGCTATAGCCAGAATGTGACTCTATACAAAAGTATGTGGTGGAAAGAATTTGGCTGATAGTTTTCTTATCCTTTGTCTAAATGATCTCTAATACTAAATTAATCCTTCCCAAGAAAAAACTCAATCTAGTAATTATTATTCAATTTTCAAAATGAGATAAGCAGAGGAAAAAGTCAATATTATTTTCAAGCTGATCATCTTTCAAAAATTTTTGTTGGGCTGGGGGAGTAGTTCAAGAGGTACAGTGTCCGTGTAGCTAGTGTGAGGTCCCGAGCTGCTTATTTGACTTTTGTAGAAAGCATTGGTTTGAATAATTCTAAGTGCAAAAGTTTAGAATATTTCTAATAATAAAGTGAACAGGTCACTGAACTAAATATGCTAGAATGATTTACTGAGTTAATTTGAAATATACATATACAGTAAGGACATAGATATGTATAAATACATAGGTATGTACAAAAGAATCAATTTGGATGGATATTTACCTTATCTGAAAACCAAATGAGCCTGGAATCTTCATAATATCTAAACATGCCATATTTAGGATCCAATAATTCCCTCATGATAAGCAAGAAAAATTCTTTGCGTACCCCTCCTGCATCAACAGCATCTTCTCCAACAAATATAACCTGAAACAACATAATGCAAATACTACAAAGTAAAAGAACATTTTGGTGTCCTCATAATACGCCACTTAATTCTTTAAAAAAAGAAATATACAGTTTTGCTTTTTAAATTCTCAAGATACAAAAAAAAAAAAAAAACCCCACCACCAAAACACTGAACTTTAAACAACTTATGTAAAAATCCCAATTACATAAAAAGAAGTGTTGGTCAGTTATCAGTGGCTCACAAGTGTAATCTAGCGCTGGCAGGAAAGTTAATGAGACTCTTTTATTTCCAGAAAACCGATGCTGTGGCACAACGTGATAGAACATGAGCCTTGAACAAAAGCTTAGGGACAGCATCCAGGCCCTGAGTTCAAGGCCCACAACCAAACAAAAAAAAAAAAAGAAAAGAAAAGAAAAAGAAAAATTACCTTGAGTGGCTTCTTGTAATCTATATTCTTTGTTTTCCTAAGAACTTCCATTGCATCTCCCACAATATTTTCTCTACGAACTACTAGAATTAGGCAGGGATTCACAGATTCAATCACTGGGAGAAAAAGAGAGGAGACGTTCTGTCTGTGGGCCTGGTCAATTGCCATCTAGAAAACAAAAGTTTAAAATTGTAGAAGCAATGGTGCAAAGCAGCTACTGACTAGATAAGCCAACATCTACCTATAGCTAGAGATATACTATTGAGTCCTGATGTTTCTGCATTCAAACAGCATTTAATGCAACATATGGTATAACATAAGAATCTGGTAAACTGAACATGGAATAATTTGAATTTGCATATTATTATGAGTTATAACTTATAACTTTATGAAGAACTATATCATCTGAGCAAGTCAAGTTAGGAACTGATATCTAATTATTTAATATAAATCTGTTCATTTTTAGCCACTGTGGGGGGATTAGAGGGTAGGGATGGGGAGTGAGGATAATAAGAAAATGTTTAAAGAGGGACTGGGAAGGTGGCTCAGTGGTAGAGCGCTTGCCTTGCATGCCTGAGGCCCTGGATTCAATTCCTCAGCACCACATAAGCAAAAAGAAAAAAGCCAGAAGTGGCGCTGTGGCTCAAGTGGTAGAGCACTAGCCTTGAGCTGAAGAGCTGAGGGACAGCACTCAGGCCCAGAGTTCAGGCCCCACGACCGGACCCCCCCCCAAAAAAAAAGACAGAAAAGAAAATGTTTAAAGAGAAAAAGAATAATCTAGCTAAGTAAGTGTATTACAGGAATTTATCAGAAATAGAGTGATCACCAAATGTACTCACAAACCAAACATTTGGCTTTTACCATTTAAAGCCTTTGTTGTTTTTCTGTGTTCTTGCTCTAAAACAGAATATATAATATTAAAAGTACAAATCAGGGTAGACAAGAACTCAATGTACATCCTATAAAAAAGAAGAATGAGGGAAGTTGGGAGTTGGGAGGGACGAGTGAGAATGCTGAAAGGGATGACATTGTATTCATAAACTGCTTTGATGAATGGCAACTCCTTTGTATAATTACTTAAAATGATTAGTTTTATTAGACTTACAAAACTAATTTTCTTCTTGTGATTAAAGTAGAAATAAGCATTATCTCTAAAAATTTTCCCCTTATTTAATGTGATTAGTAGTATGTATATAAATGTGTGAATGCACATGCACATGTAATGTGTGCTGATCCTAGGGCTTACACTCAGGGCCTAGACACTGTCCATGCTATTTTGCTCAGGCAAGCACTCTACCACTTGAGCCACAGCTCCACTTCTAGCTTTCTGGTACATAATTGGGAGAGAAGAGCTCATAGACTTTCCTGCCTGGGATGGCTTGGAACCACAATCCTTTGATCTTGGCCTCATGAGTAGTTAGGATTATAGGCATAAGCCACTAGGATCCTCCAGCCCTAGTACTTATTTTTTTAAATGTTTAGAATGGTTTCAACTAACAAATTGACAGAATGAAGTTATCAACGTCTGTTTTTAAAAGTATTTTTAGAATATTAAATAGTCAATGTTGCATTTCATCATTACCTTGGTCTTGAAATCAGTCAGATATTCTGTATCTGAGGAAGATAAATGTTTTTTCTGGGTACTTGGATTTGAACTCAAGGCCTTACATTTGGTCAGCTTACATGCTCAGGACTGGCACTCTACTATACTTCCAGACCTGCTTTTTGCTGGACAATTGGAGATGGAATCTTACCGACCCTTCTGCCTTGGCTGGCTTTATTTTGAACAAAAGGAGGTTGCAATATTCAGCCTCCTGAGTAGTTGGATTACAGCTTCAAATTGATAAAGTAAACTTACTGTAATTCTTTAAGGTCATGGTATTAACTAGTTTTAAAAAGTCTTCATTATGAATGAACAAATGCTGAAAATAAGAGAGTAGTTGGTAAAAGCAGAAGAATGAAAGATGATGACCAATCTCAAGATTCTAGAATTTTCTTCAAGGAACTTCTAAGTAATGGAATGCTTCCTACTATATACTTCACCTCTAGTCACTCCATCTTTTACCAAGTAAATAAACAATAGACGTATAACCTAACACATTTTATGTAAACTAGAAAAAACTTTTTTAAAGACTGCATATTTATATAATGAAAAAAGCTTATATTAAAGATATATAAAGAAAGCTGGGTGCCAGTGGCTCACTCCTGTAACACTAGCTACTCAGAAGGCTGAGATCTGAGAATCATGGTCCAAGAGCAGCCTAGGCAGGAAAGTCCATGAGATTCTTTTTGTTTTTTTGTTTTGTTTTTTTGGGTCCGGTCATGGGGCATGAACTCTGGGCCTGGGCACTGTCCCTCAGCTCTTCATCTCAAGGCTAGCGCTCTACCACTTGAGCCACAGCGCCACTTCTGGCTTTTTTCTTTTTGCTTATGTGGTGCTGAGGAATCGAACCCAGGGCCTCAGGCATGCAAGACAAGCGCTCTACCACTGAGCCACCTTCCCAGCCCTCCATGAGATTCTTATTTTCAATTAACCACCAGAAAATGAGAAGTGGTGCTCTGATTCAAGTAGTAGAGAACTGACTTTGTGCTGCAGAGCTCGGGGACATTGCCTAGGCCCAGAGTTCAAGTCTCACAACTGACAAAAAAAAAAAAAAAGATAAAGGAAAAACATTGTTTTAATTGAATCATTTTTTATAAACCTCTCCCAGAAGTATATGCATGTCACATAAGCAGTTTTCTTTGTAGCTACTTAAGTTACTTCTGCAAATGACAAGAGCATAATACTGTACCCAAAGAAAACTGATTATAGGCAAGTTTCAAATATTTCTGTTGTACAAAGCATTAGAGAAGCAAGTCAAATTAGTCTTATACACTATTTTACCTGCATCTGTAAGACTGCATCTGTTTGTAGCAGAGTAGTTTTTGCTTGGGCATCAAATACAAATGGATACGTACAGATTGTAACAGGGATATCTGCCAACTGAAAGTAAAAAGTTAATTTATTAGTACAAAATGATTTGTTGTATATTATTCTAAGTACTGTTATTTTTTTGTTAAGGTGATCACATTCTTGATTTAGCCACACATCTGTAGTTCAAGAACTATAAATAAAACATGTAGTTTATTTCTCAATACAGAATTATTTTGCAGATTAAATGAGGCATCAGAATAAACCCAATTGCCCATTTAAGGAGAGAAATGTATACTTCATAGAATCCTAAAGTTATAAAGTATCTCTCTCTCCTTTATCTCTTCCTCCTCACCTTAATGTTTTTCTCTGATAGGCAGTCCTGGGAATTAAACTGAGAGTATTATACTTTGCTTGCTAGGCAAGCACTCTATTACTTGGCTGCATCTTCAGCCCATGGTTTCTTGAGACAAGATTTCATTATCTAGCACTGGCTTGTCTCAAACTCACCATCCTACTGCCTTTGGCTCCTGAATGCTGGAATTACATCATCCAGCACAAGTATATTTTGCTTAGCTTATAACAACTTGAGTTTCAGTGCATTAACCTTACAATTTAGCATTCCTGTAAATAAAATACACAGTTCTTACAGATTACAGGTCCTGAGATCATTGCCTATATTCTTCATTTAACAGTTACTTATTGAGTGACATGATGGTGCCAAAATTATATTGTTAGCAATTAAAAAGATTAGGTGAACGATCCAACATTTTTTTGGGGGGGGGTTCGGTCGTGGAGCCTGAACTCTGGGCCTGGGCGCTGTCCCTCAGCTCTTCAGCTCAAGGCTAGCGCTCTACCACTTGAGCCACAACGCTACTTCCAGATTTTTCTGCTTATGTGGTGCTGAGGAATCGAACCCAGGGCCTCAAGCATGCAAGGCAAGCACTCTACCACTGAGCCACCTTCCCAGCCCAATGAACCATCACGTTTATTAAATCAGAACTCAGCAACCTTTTTCTGTATAAAGAGTAGGTGGTAAATATTTTAGACTTTGTAGAAATAGGTCTCTATTGTAATTACTCAATTGTACCTCTGATGCAGTAGGCTCAAAAGTAGCTATAGCCAGAATGTGACTCTATACAAAAGTATGTGGTGGAAAGAATTTGGCTGATAGTTTTCTTATCCTTTGTCTAAATGATCTCTAATACTAAATTAATCCTTCCCAAGAAAAAACTCAATCTAGTAATTATTATTCAATTTTCAAAATGAGATAAGCAGAGGAAAAAGTCAATATTATTTTCAAGCTGATCATCTTTCAAAAATTTTTGTTGGGCTGGGGGAGTAGTTCAAGAGGTACAGTGTCCGTGTAGCTAGTGTGAGGTCCCGAGCTGCTTATTTGACTTTTGTAGAAAGCATTGGTTTGAATAATTCTAAGTGCAAAAGTTTAGAATATTTCTAATAATAAAGTGAACAGGTCACTGAACTAAATATGCTAGAATGATTTACTGAGTTAATTTGAAATATACATATACAGTAAGGACATAGATATGTATAAATACATAGGTATGTACAAAAGAATCAATTTGGATGGATATTTACCTTATCTGAAAACCAAATGAGCCTGGAATCTTCATAATATCTAAACATGCCATATTTAGGATCCAATAATTCCCTCATGATAAGCAAGAAAAATTCTTTGCGTACCCCTCCTGCATCAACAGCATCTTCTCCAACAAATATAACCTGAAACAACATAATGCAAATACTACAAAGTAAAAGAACATTTTGGTGTCCTCATAATACGCCACTTAATTCTTTAAAAAAAGAAATATACAGTTTTGCTTTTTAAATTCTCAAGATACAAAAAAAAAAAAAAAACCCCACCACCAAAACACTGAACTTTAAACAACTTATGTAAAAATCCCAATTACATAAAAAGAAGTGTTGGTCAGTTATCAGTGGCTCACAAGTGTAATCTAGCGCTGGCAGGAAAGTTAATGAGACTCTTTTATTTCCAGAAAACCGATGCTGTGGCACAACGTGATAGAACATGAGCCTTGAACAAAAGCTTAGGGACAGCATCCAGGCCCTGAGTTCAAGGCCCACAACCAAACAAAAAAAAAAAAAGAAAAGAAAAGAAAAAGAAAAATTACCTTGAGTGGCTTCTTGTAATCTATATTCTTTGTTTTCCTAAGAACTTCCATTGCATCTCCCACAATATTTTCTCTACGAACTACTAGAATTAGGCAGGGATTCACAGATTCAATCACTGGGAGAAAAAGAGAGGAGACGTTCTGTCTGTGGGCCTGGTCAATTGCCATCTAGAAAACAAAAGTTTAAAATTGTAGAAGCAATGGTGCAAAGCAGCTACTGACTAGATAAGCCAACATCTACCTATAGCTAGAGATATACTATTGAGTCCTGATGTTTCTGCATTCAAACAGCATTTAATGCAACATATGGTATAACATAAGAATCTGGTAAACTGAACATGGAATAATTTGAATTTGCATATTATTATGAGTTATAACTTATAACTTTATGAAGAACTATATCATCTGAGCAAGTCAAGTTAGGAACTGATATCTAATTATTTAATATAAATCTGTTCATTTTTAGCCACTGTGGGGGGATTAGAGGGTAGGGATGGGGAGTGAGGATAATAAGAAAATGTTTAAAGAGGGACTGGGAAGGTGGCTCAGTGGTAGAGCGCTTGCCTTGCATGC